GGATTACAGATTTGGCTCTAGGATTTTGTGAAAACACATGGAAGTAGCACATTAATATTAGTCAAGGACTAAAAGAGCCTTTTTAAGAAGTCGAGATAAATTTTGGCAAAATCAGGTCACCCTAAGAAGCATTCAATGTACTGTGAGGGAGTTGCTCAAAAAATTATGATCTTTTTTCTTTGTTCAGTTTATTTAAATAGTAAAAACCTGGCGTTTGCATCTCCTACAAGCCTGCACCCCTGAAGCTATGCATTAGACCATACATGTGGTGGGCCTGTGTTTTTCATTATGTTCACTGACTCTTCAGGTTTTGCAGTTAGTCCGTGTTACACGTTTCCTTCTTGTTTTTCTTGAACTTCATGAACTCGGGCATTTCATTTCACGAATGTATATCCAAGGGAAAAGTAGCCTTCCTTTGATCTTCCTCGGGACCCCATTATGTTTAACCTAAGAAAGATTAGGGAGTTTTCATTCAACGCTGAACAAACACAAAACTCAGCTGCGAAGATGGTGGGTGCTTAATCTATTTCCAGCATCAACTCCATGATGAACTAATTCCACATCAAGCAGACTTTGAAAAGCACTCTGAATGGAATTCCCATCTGCCTTCGAAGGCTGGTGCATATGGTCCAAAGTACTGAACGTATTGGCCTCACAAAGGAATCTATTTAGCACAAAATACTTCAGCTGTAGAGGGTGTTTAAACTTTGCAATCACTGTCACTGTTGGTTCTCCATATGGCGGTCCAGTTGTACTTTGTGCTCTGTCTCTCCAAACTGAACGGGTAGTTTCTGGAAAGCGCCCTCACCTTCTAGTTGTGTTTGTAATAACATCTGCTAGACAGTGGTGAAACAAGTCAGCTCCAGTCATTGGACAAACAATCCTCTGAGCTGGGGTGAATTTGGAGGGGCAAAGAGCTGCCACTCTGCCAGCACCTGGAAAACCAGGCAGCTCAGCTCCCCTCAGCTCCAAAATGGGTTTCCACCATGGCTATCAGGACTCTGCCTGCCTTATAAATAGCTCTTGAAAGCAACCATGCAGGTCGAATTGTGACAGATTTTTTTTCCCAGCCTTAGATGAGGCAGGAAGAACAAAACAAAATCAAATGTGAGCCTGTCAGGATTTTCAGTGCCCTGTCATCCAATGGCATTGATGGAGATTTATTTTTCTAATGAAAGCTCCAACATTAATGGTGGTACTTGCTAGAATCGGTTAGGACTAAGTGTTATTTAATTCACAGTGAAGTCCAATGGCATTGATGGAGATTTATTTTTCTAATGAAAGCTCCGACATTAATGGTGGTACTTGCTAGAATCGGTTAGGACTAAGTGTTATTTAATTCACAGTGAAGCACTAATCTGACTGCACCGTGATTAGTTCCAGCTTTTAGCTATCATTTATAGGTCACCAGGCGGCTAACCACCTCAATTGAGGGACCATTATCTTTTGACAAGATGAAGCTTTTGCTGGGGGCTGGGAGGGCAGGAAGATGGGTGCCACCCAGAAAGCCCAGCTCAGGACTCTCCACGGGAATGATTCCATTCCTAATAGAGCTTCGCTGCCATTTACTCAGAGGACCTGCACTAGTGGATTCCAGTTAGGTCTGTGGAAGGCAGAGAAGGAAAAGACTTTCCTCTTAGCCATTCATTTATCCACTCAGCAACTATGCCTTGAGCGAGGCACTGCAGGAGAGTATGTTTGCAGGGTTCCCTGGAAAGAAGGCTAATAATCAGCCTGCACACACTGGTATGGCTGTGCTAGTTTTGTTTATTTTTTTAAATAGCCTTTAACCAGGTGTTGAAGTGTCTGTTCTGATTGGTTGATGCCGGTGCAATAATGATTGTTAAAAATTTCTAAAACACCCTTACCTAGAATAACACTCTTTTGTAAAAGCTAATTTTCTCTCCAAGAAAATGCCATTTTAAGGCCGAGCCCATGGCGCACTCGGGAGAGTGCGGCGCTGGGAGCGCAGCAGCGCT